CGTGCCTAAATGTGGGGTGCGTGAACTTTTGGTGTGTGAAGTTCATAGTGGCGACTTGGCTGGTCACTTTGGAATTCAAAAGACAATAGATATTCTCTAAGAGCACTTCTATTGGCCACACATGACTAGAGACGTGAGCTAAGTGGTGGAACGATGTGCGACATGCCAAATGTCCAAGAGCACCTTTCACAAAGGTCTCTATGTTCCTTTACTTGTGCCTAATGTTCCATGGGAAGCCGTGAGTATGGATTTTGTTGTGGGTTTGCCTAGAACCCAAAGGGGCAATGATAGCATCATGGTAGTGGTGGACCGTTTCTCAAAGATGGCTCACTTCATTCCATGTCACAAAACAGATGATGCCTCTAAAGTTGCTGATTTGTATTTCAAAGAAGTGGTTGGTTTGCATGGGGTGCCAAGGTCTATTGTTTCGGACCGAGACACTAAATTTCTTAGCCATTTCTGGAGAATGTTGTGGAAGTTGGTGGGGACTAAACTCTTGTTTAGTACTTCCCACCATCCTCAAACGGATGGGAAAACCGAAGTGACAAACCGAACCATGGGTGTTCTTTTGCGTGGACTTGTGAACAAGACACAAAAGGATTGGGACTTGAAGTTAGCTCATGCTGAGTTTGCTTACAATAGGTCTCCCTCCTATACTACAAGCCAAAGTCCATTTGAGGTGGTATATGGTGTAAATCCATTGCTACCAATTGAGCTCATTCCTTTACCTAAAAGTGAGCTAGTGCACGGAGATGCTAAGAAAAGATGGGAATCTTTTCAGCAAACTTGGAAGAAGGTTCATGAGAAGATTGAAGCTATGAATGAAAGGTACAAAACTAAGGCCAAAAAGAACCGGTCTCAACCACGGTTCAATGAGGGTGACTTAGTTTGGCTTCATCTTCGAAAAGAATGCTTTCCTAACCTACGCAAAAACAAACTTATGCCTAGGTCGGATGGTCCTTTTTGTGTGCTTCAAAGGGTGGGCGAAAGTGCCTACAAAATTGAACTTCCTAGTGACTATGGTGATGTGAGTTCAACCTTCAATGTGGGTGACCTTGATCCTTACTTCGATGATGAAAGCTTGAGGACAAGCTTTTTCGAGGAAGGAGGGAATGATCCGGAATTGGACCTTATTTAAAACGAAGTGCAACCTAATGAGCCTAATGGTTCAAAGGGTCCAACTACACGGTCCATGGTACAGAAAAATCAAGTTCCACTGGTTTACGGTTTGTTCATTCAAGGGTTGAAAATAGACCAAATTCCACGCATGGGGTTTGTGCTTGCTCCATCGCTAGTCAAGTCATGCGTGACTTGGCTAGGTGACTAAAGCATAGGATTTGCTTGCCTTGGATGCCTTGGGTTCGTTACATACTTAGGGGAAGGAATCCTCTTGGATTCTCGCTGATTTGAAGGCAGACAAGACAAGAGAATAAAGGGGAGGTTACATGCGGTTTAATGAGCATTCAAGGAGGGCATTACTCACCTTCTTTAGGTGCCTCTTTTGTAGTTCAACCCCCTTAGTTTAATTGCATGTTGTTACTACTTTTTTATGTTTAAAATTTCAGTTTATTAGTAGTTAAATAGCTAAGTTAAAAGTTGTAATTAAAGGGTTTAACCGCAAGCGCTGAACTGGGAAAGCAGGGGAACAAGCAGCGGTTTGCATCAGAACCGCTGCCTATTCAATGCATTTGCAGCGGTTCCCCTTAAAAACCGCTGCCTATTAATTACAGAAAACGTTCAGTTTTTTGAAAGGAATGGTGTCCTTCCAACAAGTGTATTATTCCGATAGAGGATTTAGAATTATTGGATAGCTAATTCTTCAGTAAGGTCAAGTGATCGGAATGCCTAGGTGGAGGCCGCTTCCGATAAGTAATATTAATATACAATTAATATTACAAATTAATCTTGATTGAACCCTTAGGTCGAACCCAATCGAACAACCGATCCGAGACGACGAGTTAATCCGAAGGATTTGATTAGTCGTCAGAGTTTTACGAACAAAGACGTCGGATATCAAGCTTAAAGCGTCGAGATCGAGCGTCGCAAGTCGAGACGAATTTAGAATTCGACGAGACGTGAAATCAATCAAGTTACAAGTTCGAGCCTAGCCGTAGCCTCGCATTGGCCTAGCCATGTGAGTGCTAGGCTAGACGAGACCCATCGCAATACTAGCCGCAAGCCTAGCATGCTAGGCGTGCTAGGACAATGTGGGCTGACAATGCGTGGTGCTAAGCGCCTAGCCATCGCAGCCACGCACCATTGCATAGTAGCATGCTAGGCGTGCTACCCTATGCGTGATGCTAGGCGCTGGCTGCCTCGCTAGCACAGCATCGCACAGCACCATGTGCCAGCCAGCAGCGAGCTAAGTTGTGCCTGTGTGTACATGTGCCTAGCATTGCAGCGTCTAGCACAATGCACCAAGCAGCAGCGATGCGTGTATGCGGGCTGGCCTTGTGCTGGCTGGCTATGATGTGTGCGTGTGTACTGGCTGGCTGCCCAACCTTGGTGCTAGGCGCCAGCTGGCAGCCTTAGCAGCCAAGGCAGGCTGCCAGCCAGCCACATGGAGGGAGTGCGGGGTTCGCTAAGTGGGGACCAAAGGGTGTGAGCCTTGCCTTGGGCACCAAGGCTATGGTCCCCCCCTTGGAAATGGTCCTCACCTAATCTCTCCTCCTCCTTTATGCCACTTGTAACTTATTGATTGTATTGCAATTTTATTTTTGTTTTAATTAAAATAAAATGGGAAAATTGCAAATCTCCCACATTGATTGAGAGTGGGAATTCAAGGTTCGATTCCCTATAAATACCAAGGTTTTGGGATTTGGGAAGAACACTTGAGTGGAACTAAAAACGCATCTCCTTAGAAAAGTGAGAAAACCTTAAGTTTTTAAAACTCTAGTTTTTTTATTGGTCGGGTCCCGACTAACCTTCGGGACTTGGATCGTTCGGGTCGGGTTCGTGGATATGAGCTGCCGGAGACCTTCGCATTTGCGGGGTTCAAGTAAGAGCTCGGGATTCAAGCGAAGCACGCGATAAGGGTAAGAATGTATTTTGTTATCTCTCTTAATTGTTGTTTAATTAGTGATTGCATGCTTAGTCGCTTTAATTAGTGTGCGGTCTTGGGTGGGTTTCCCTTCCGCGTAGAGTCAAACTCTACGAAACCCAACATTTTTGCAGCTGGTTGAAAACCTTCAATGTGCAGCAGCTTTCAAGGGACCGTTACTCATGGAGGGTTGTTCATTTTGACGGTTTTTGGTGTGCTCCTTAGTTAGTTTAATTAATTAAGACTACTTAGCTTATTATTGTAAGTAGCTTCCTAAACCTATAAACGGAAGTTTTATTCTAGTTGTAATCATTCAACTTTTAATAAAATCTACAACAATTTGAGATATACTTTGAGTATTTTCTATATTTTAACTTGTGGACTCAAGTTAGCTTGAACTCGTGGACTCAGGTTTGTGAGTTTCACTCCGAGTGCTCGGGGTGAACTTATTTTCCGTGGCTAGTAGAGTGAGTGTTTAACTCTAGCCATACCTAACTAACCTAGTTCATTCACGTGAGCTAGGAACTACTTAATACTAATCCGAAACACATATCCAAACACTAAACCACCTCAACCCCTAGCCTAAACACTTGATCCTAACCAAAAACCACCTAACCCAGACTTAGTTTCCGCATCAGAACCTCATGAAATAATCAATAATAAATTCATTCCACTTAAAGCATTTAATTCCAATCCTTCAATAATCAAAATGTAGTTATCAAACCAATCCAATAAAATATGATTGTATCAACATTCCATACAAACAATTAATCCCATTTAACATGCTTGCATCCACAATTCCATACAAACATAATCAAGTCACCAAAACATGTCTCATAAACATAAGCACATAATTAATTCAATGTTTAACCAAACAATTTCCATCCAAGAGTTCTTTAAACATGGAACTAAGTTATTTCCTTTTGGTACCTAAACATGATACTACTTACAACGAAGTAGACATGTACGTACCGTGTGTACACAATTCTTTGTGCCACTTTTAACCAATTAAAAGTCTCATAGGGAATAATCACCTCCTAGAAAACAACCAATAATCAAATATAATTTGATTAAAAACTCCTTAATACTTCCTTTAAAACATGTTTTATATCTAATTAATCATTAGAAATACATTAGGTACAAAAGCCCCAATTTAATTGATCATAATAACCCTAAAATCCCAATTTAAATAAATTAAAACCCTAGGTTTATAGTTCATAAAATCTTAAAATAATAACAACAATTATAATCTGAAATTATAACTTTAAATCACCAAAATATAGTTTTTCATACTAATTAAATTAATTTCAAACAATAAAATCAAAACTCAAAACAATTAAATCAAGTTTTAAGCAAAATAAAGCAAAAGGGGAAAGAAGAAGAGGTAGGCCAGCCACGGTGGGTGGTCGGGCTGGTGGTTAGTTCGCCGGTGTTCGGAAGGTGGCGGCAGGTCAGGGTTGGCGCCGGCAGGTGGCTCACGTGCTTATAAATACTCAAATTGATTGTTGTGTATATTTTTCTCAGATTATGCAGGAATTTATAGTAACCTTGCATGAACAATGTTTGCTCGATATATTAAACCATGCAGTGAAACGTCTAATTGAGCATGAGGTCCTAAGCGACAATATTTACTCTTACATTGAGAAAATGTGGATGTGAGATTTTGCAATATTCCAAATTCGTTCCTATTACGCATGTGATGCGTATTACAACATAAACTAACTTTTTGATACTATTATAATGTTGAAATATTTTTTTTCCCCCTTATTGTTCTTAGGATAGATAAAAACACATGTCAAGTTTGCACATTTGATTCCAACTGCCATTTTTTTTTTCTTTGGTGTAGAGAGTCACAATAATAAATTATTTGAATGAGATCTAATCCCAAGTAATCCTTGGAACCCCTTAAAATTTAACCAAGCTCGTTGATCACCCACATATTTTGTTGCTTTTTAGAAAATTAAGAAAAGCACGACATTATATACATCTCGTATAATAATAAAGTCTTTGAATACACAATCAAATACTTCCTCCGTTCCCCAAATATCTCAACATATACACATTTATTTTGAAGGTTTACAAAAGAACAACTTTAGCCAAAGTATGCATGTTTAGATCATTTTCAAGTCCCTGGTAAAATCAGAAAATTGCACAAGAAATGCACAAAAATACACCATTGCCAAACCAAAGCAGTCAGCAGAAGCTACGTAAAACACTAGAAAGATCAAGTACAACATTTCTTCATGCGATAGGCCCTGTTAGAAGAGTTGAACAGAAGGTATCACTGGGAAGCAACAAAAGTTTGAGGCGTAGAAGTAGATAGCAAAAGTGAGCCTTTAGTCCATCGTCTCAACATTTCTAAGGCTGCCTTCGGCTGATCCATAGGAACCATGTGACCAGCATCATGAACCTGTTAAATGAATAATGAACAGCAGCTTTGTCAAAACAGTCATGTATCTAAGAAGCATTTTACCCAATATAGAACTAAAGTACTTTAGTTTCAAATGTTATAAATTGACTTTACAAAAATGTCAAATATTTAATTCCAGGAAGAGGGGTCAAACCTTGAGGAAACTCAAAGGACCAAGGCTCTTCAGTATTCCTGCCTCAGAGCCATCAACTTCGAAAGGAATCTCAGGTGATGCTACAAAATCTTGCTGCGCACTCCATTCCATAGCATGGACCCATCTTGAGTTGCCTGGTAATACAAAATAACACAATTAAACAAAGTAACATGCTATCAACTACAGATTACTTTGAAGTATGGAGATCGCGTGGGAATAGCAGGTTGATATATTTATTTTTATAAAATTTACCAAGCCAATTGCAGATGAGATCGTATTCTCCAGCATATACAAGCAACTGAATTCCATCCTCAAGAAGAGCTGGGATGCCAACCTCAAGATTTCTCATCCAATCAACAAGCAAGGCCTGATATACCGTGGTGCTACAAGACTGAAATTCAATGTCTCCAACACCCAGAGCACTCCTAACAGATTCCTGATTTAAGAACTTTTCCATGTTTGAGAAGTCATAGCACAAGCGTCCCTCACACTTTTTTCTTATATCGTAATACTGCAAGAACCAATAAGTTACAAAATTCATCAATTTATGTAAAACATAAGCCGTTATAGCTAATTCTGAAGAAAGACAAGAATTATCATTTGACTAGTTACTAAACGGTAATTTTTTTTTGTCTAGATCTTTCTCCATAAGTTTAGCAAAGAACGAGTCTAGCTATAAATATTTAACGCCATACAAAATCATACATTAGTATCACCAATTAGCAGTCTAATGCTTGTAAATATAGTGTTGCATAAAAGGTATGAAGTCATGCAGGAGACTGTACCCTTTGTACCTGTAACAATAGACCAAACCATTAATTAGAAGATAAGAATCAAGGTATCTATGTAACACCAGAAAGATTTTGATTCTTTTTCAACCACATTCCCACAAATTATTAATTCAATCACTCAACAGCCATGAACAACCCCCTCTACCCCCCCCCCCCACAAAAGCACACATACACAACCCCACCCAAAAACAATGCAAGAAAACCCTCAAACAAAATTATACCACAGAGTTTTACTGCTGTTTCACACAGAGGAACCATCTTAGTGATCACATTGTAGGATGATTTCTTGATCAACCCCATCTCTAATGCATAATCAGGATATGCTTCATACTGCACTGCAGGATCAGTCAGCCCATTGCCAATAGCAAATCCCTGTTCGAATGTTGATAAGTTAAAACATGTTACGACTGGCTAAATTATCACATACACTAGAGCACATGTTTGGATTTAACCAAAAAAATAAAATTAAAAAAATAAAAATAAAATAAAAAACCTTTATCAGACCTTGAGGTTGATATGAATTCCTTTCTTAGCTTTATTCTTGCTATGAACACAAGCAGCAAAGGCAGGAATGTAGTGGCCAGCATATGATTCTCCAGTGATGTAGAAGTCATTTTTTGCGAAACTTGGGTGCTTGGTAAAGAATGCCTTGCATTGGAAATGAAATCCACTAAGTCAGAAGACAGAACACCAATAATAAGTAAATGGTCAGATACAGGTGATGTGATCATAAAGTTTTATTTGAATCAGCATCAGCAGGCAAAGAAAATAAAAGGAAAACTGCCTACAACATATATGATAGAATGAGACAGTATCTGTTGGTCATGAAACGCAAGCCCTTGGACATAATTCACCGTTTTATTGTTAGGTTTAAGTGAGATGGTTCAAGGTGTAAATGGAGTGTTGCTTGGTAATTCAAGCATGAAAGTGATTAAGGTATGGAGACTGCATAGGCCTGGCCATGTTGGTTGTATTTCTGGAAGGAGGAAGCAAACACTTCAGTTTTGGAAGGGAAGAAGCAGGTGACATGCCCATGTTGATTTCACGACGGAGCCCCAGTTTATAACCTTGATAAACAAATTTCGATCATCAGGGGGTAAAATCGTAAGATTTTGTGTCAAAAAAGGGCAAAACTGCTAACACCATAAGCGGTTTTACCCTTTTTATGCCAATAAGTGTACACTTTTGCCCCTTGCAACTTGTATTTTCTCTTGATTTCACACATCCATGACTGGTGTCACACGTCCATGTTACTTCAGATTCAGTTTTGAGTTTAGCTTTCTGTTACACCCAACATGTCCTTGTATTTGTGTTAGCCCAAATCGCAAAACACACTGTTTCATTAATGCCTCATAAAACTCTTGATATAAATTAGTTCACAAAAGTCACTTTGTAAAGTATTCGCAAAACTTAAAACACTATGAGAGAGTTTTTGAGAGGTTGAGGAGCATTAATTTCACACGATTAATGCTTGTGATATGGATTCATTCATCAATACTACTACTTAGTGCTAGGGTGGTTTATTTCTTCCAATTCTCAGGTTCTCCACTGTAACATCACTTCTCTCCCTTTCTAGTTCTCTTTAATACTTGTAGTATTATTTGCTTGTTCTTGAATTTTCAAAGGTGTGATTACAATTGAAAACCGCATGTCTAAATTATACTTCCTCGTTTTTATTTTCTAGCAACACATTTGGCACGCACTTTGAGGGAAATATTAGATCAGGTAAATGGACAAATTAATTGACAAAAATGTACCACCAATAAGAAAAAAGTGATAAGTTGTTAAGTATCAACTAATAATAGGCGTACTACAAATAGGAGCAAATATTAACCTATTATTGTTGTGATTTAGTTAGGACCCACTATATATATATATATATATATATATATATATATATATATATATATATATATATATATATATATATATATATATATATATAATGTTTTCCCAGATTTTACTGTTATGAATTTGAATTTGAATTAGAATTAGTTGAGTTTTGTAAATTTGTCAATTTCTATCAACAATCATCTTACGAAAATATTTGCAACCAGACAAGATGCATTTTCCGTCATAATTTTCCTATCTAAAGCAGCAGAAGGTGTATCAATTTCTATGAAAAATGATCTGAAGCAGTACAAGCAGTAATGCTGTTTCTGAAAAGCAATATCATCCACCAAAGCTCTAACACTTTGCATTAAGTAGCAGAAAGAATCAAAGCTATCAGATGGAAATTTTGGTGCCCAATTTCTTATCACATGGGATAGATATACTCAGTTTGATACACCTTACATGAGCAGGAAAGATGTAAAAATTGAGAATCACATATCAAAATTTGCCGGTAGCCACTGAAGTCTCAATAAGATATGAGAACATGAAGAGTATCTAGGGAGTGAAATGATGAAGGGATGTGGATAATAAATAAAAACAAATCTGGAAAGGCAAAGGAAGCCAGTTATGGAATTAGTTCTTGAGTTCAGCAAATTAAATAAGATAAAACCGCTAAATTACTGAATTTCCAACAACCAGTAACAGGTACTTGTACAACGTATATCCAAATTCTCCTCTAAATAGACAAATAAATGTGCATACAACACATACCTAATTAAGACAGAAAGGGGGTCTCAAAAACAGGAGAGTGAGAATGGGCCAATCTCAGACTTTAAGTTAGTTGGTTAGTGAATCTGCTATCGGGTCTCAAGCTCAGATTCCACCCCAGTTCATAGAAGTTCATCCAATTAGCACCATTGCAATATTTTCATTTGGGTCAATAACCAGGAACATTATGTGGATTTATTTGCTTTCTAGGAAAAACTATGGCCAGTGAAACAGTATCCTTTCCTTTTGATGTTTCTAAAGTTGTCCTCATTTCACCATGCAACTATATCCACATTCTATGCGGGAAGGGGAAGGGGGGAGAAGTGGCTATAGTAATTCCTCCTGTATATTCTACACTTTAGAAGGAAATCTCACTAGGCATGAGAGTATTAGCACTGAAACAATATGTTCATGAGCAGTTTGTGAACAGCCTGGGTAAAACTGTAAGTTCTACAAAACTTAACAGAAAACAAACAATTATTTTTAAGCTTGGGCATAGGAAAGAAGGTTTGGACAATATGCAACTTGTTTATATTCATGAATAGCCCAATGATATATCTGTCATCTTTATCACTCTGAATGTTCAATTACCTATCAACACTAGTTCTGGCCGACATATTTCCAACACCTGGAAGGGATAAGAATATTTAGGTTGCACTTGTTAAAAAACGAAATACATAACATGAATGCCTTCTTGTCAGGCACTTTACTTCCCAAGAATCCTAGTAACATAGATTTTCATGTAAATTACATAATAGTATGCTTATCATTGAATATTCCTCTCTATGATCCGCAAATCAAATGTTGGTTACTGATATGTTACATTATGCTAAGTATTCCTAACCACATTTGACCCCCATGTTCGCCATTATTTTCCTAAAGGTCCCTCAACTAAAACATATCTAAGAAATTACTAAACCATATAGAGGAGCTTAATCCCGTTAAACGGTTAAAGTATGAGTAGTAGAGTTTAAATGGCCCAAGATTGGAAATGTTTCTTATTAACAAATTAAGCCCATTGAATAACACTTAATTTGTTCTTAACAATGCCCAAATTGAGCAATTGTTGCTCAGAATTACTCTTTATTTCCCTGTCAAACGTTTCACAAGAAACGGGTTGAGGGGAACAAGCCTCGTGGCTGCAGATTCCTGGCACACTGGTGGCATTGATTGCTGCAAGCTACAGCTGGGCTCATGGCATGGCTGCAGATCTGGGCAAGAGCCAAGAGTGTAACAACAGCTGTGGATTTCTGGTTTCCAGAGTGTAGTTGGGAGAAATTTGATGAAGGTGGATGATAGTGTTTGTTGATCATGGTTAGAAATTCAAGTTAATTGCTAGGTATTGATAGCCATTGATTTCATGGTTGATATAAATCAAGTGTATAAGGTTACCAGAGATAATAACATTTGTTTCTGATTGCCAATAGGAGAATTTCCCAACATTAATAATTTAATGTTAAGGATCAACATACAACATCTTCTTAGTAATTACCAATAAGATATTGAATAAGATGCAGCTTGGTTATAGATATCCAGTACTTGCAAAAGAGGTAGGCAAGGATACAGCTGTCTATACATAATGAGTGATCCACTACCTACGACCAAGTTCTCACATCTTCTTAGTAATTACAATCTGATTCATGATTATCTAACCAAAAGAATGATTCACGACAAAACAAAACATCCCAGAAAAAATCATGTACAAGAAAATATCAAAATCGAATTCTATTCAGAAAGTCTGAGAGAATGAGACCAATAAATTGACATATGGTAAAACAGACATACCTGTAAAAAGTCATACAAATCATTGCTAACCCCACTTTCATCATGTCGTATGTCATGTCTATCAGTGGAGTAACTGAATCCAGTCCCAATGGGCTGGTCAACAAAGATGAGGTTGGCAGCCTGCAAAATTGCAATAACTCTGGCTGTTAAATGATATCTTCAATAATAGCATGTTCGGGAATCTGCTCTGAAAATGGGCTAAGGCTACAAGAGACTAAAACTCGACATATTACCTCAAGAAACTAGTAGTATTACTTCTAAAACAGAAATAGGATTTTACAAAATAAAAATAAATAAATAAAAATGAGAGAGAGAGAGAGAGGAATTGAAGTGTTAACCTCAAGCTGATCATCCGGTTTTTAAACCTATAACAATTCTACATTTCTACTGTAAACTGCCCTACATAGTTACACTTTTATGTATAAAAAAAAGTACCAAACAGCCTCCTTAACCAAATGACAATCCTTCAATCTGGTAAAGTAAGAATCATTTCATGCTACTAAGTGACTTCATCAATTATGGCAACTCAGGACATGGAACCATCAAAATGGGCATCCAATCCCAGCTATATTTCAATTCTAGAGCTTGTGCCATGTCCTCAAAAAACCAACATGACTATGGATTATGGAAACTTGACACTTCATTTTGGAAAAAACTCATAAATTTTTTTCATAATACGCGGAATATTGAATTCTCATATTCAAATTGACATACTAGAGTGCAACACTAGGACAAAATGACACATACTTGTGTCAGACACCCAAGTCCAATTTGCATATATTCAAATTCTGAAGCCTCAAGTTTGTTACTCAAGACAACGATTACCATGTAAACAGCATTAAGAATGAGATACTTTGACATGAAGCCTTGAAGGTAGTTTACTGCCACGATGTAAATGACTTTATTCCATCATTTAAAATCTCAAAGCACATATCATCTATGCTTAGATAACGTTGTGGTTGTCAGGAACTCAGAACGACTTAATTTCACAAGAGACATTTATGTATGAAGCATCGCACAATTTCACACATCATTATGTAATTCAAAATGACACCAAAAGGCAGTAAGTGACTTAAGTACCTGGTCCCAGCCATATTCATTCCATACAAGGGACAAGTTGTTTGCAATTTTAAATGGCCCATTTTCATAAAAGAGAGCCAACTCACTGCTGCAACCAGGCCCTCCAGTTAACCAGATAACAACAGGGTCTTCTTTTCTGTTACGTGATTCAAAGAAAAAGTAGAACATCCTACAGATGACAGGTACACAAACGTTTAGAAAATTCATCACAACTGACGAATATCACACAAATGACGAAGATCATGGGTAAATGCCTATTTTATAAGCCAAAAAATATAGCTGAACAATTCAAGCAGTAAGCCTATTTGAACAAACAACACTTGATTGCCCAGAATTACTACTAGGCGTAGACCCTAATTAGAGCATACAATGGCCTATTGCCCACAAAAACTGTTCCGGGTTATCAAACGCAAAGAATGTACTAATAACACAACGCATACTTGCACAAGATCTCAAAGTTCAGACCCTATCAAATAAGCTACATGTAAATGTAAGTTCATCTTTAGCTAATTTTACAGCTTGATAAAACTATGATAACTACTAACTCAACTATTTGAAGTCTATGATCACTAACTTGCCCTATTTTTCAAAATTTCGCAACTCTACTTCTATTTAGGGAAAGAAAAAATTGCATAATTAATCATTTTAGATGTCCAAAAATAATTTTTTCTTTCTTTATCTTTATCCATTTTTCTTACATCTCCTTCAAATTCTTACTCATATTTAACAATATTAATAATTTCTTTGCCAAAAACAGCCATGCAATTTTGTGTTAGTAGTTATAAGTTTATAACAAACAATCAGATGCAATTGCAACAAAAATAATAACCCAGAATTAACCTATATCAACAAATTTTAACAACAATCTAAAATTGAAATTTCAATTTCACTAGCAACATTTACAACCACAAAAAAAAAAAAAATAAATAAAAAAAAAAATCCAAAGAGTAAGAATTATGAACACAAACCTAGCATTATGAGAGTGTTGAATCTGATAATAACCAGCATGATGGCCCAGTTCTTCAACAGTTGCACCACTAGGATCGTAGAAATTGGGAAATTTGAACCTCTTTTCGACGATTTTTGAGCTGCTGTGAGAAAGATCGCCATTATCAGAGCTATTGATTATGTTAACGGGTCTTTTTGGGAATAAATTGAACGCTTCAATGGGATTATCAGCCTGAAATTCGTTGAAAACCGAAATTTTGGCAGAGGTGAAGGAAGAGAGGAAGAAGAGGACTGTCAAGAAAATGATCAACTTTTCCATATTTCTAAGTTTATGCTTCACCCTTGACCCTTGGGGTGGGCTACTGTAATACTGCGTATTTGTGGAGTTAAATGACTTAAATCCGATTTACAGGGGCTTGCACAGCAAAGTCTGTTGGGCAGCAGAAAATCCGCGGAAAGAAGAATTTTCGGACGTTTTTCCAAAGTGAGCCAATTTTGGCAAATATTAACCAAAATGGTTGCGTGGCAAAAATATTTACCAAACTAAGCTTCTAGGCTAAAACGCTGTCTCGGTCAGCGTTTTATGCCTGGGTTTTTTTTTAAAAAAAAATCAACCTAAAAACGCTGTCTAGGACAGCGTCTTTGTTGTTGACCTTTTTTAAAAAAAAAAATTTGTAATTGCCTTTTATTTATAAAAATGTTTTTAAAAAACAAAAACAGTTATACCAAAGACGCTGTCCCAGATAGCGTTTAACTCTGGAACTATTAACGCTGTCTCAGACAGCGTTTAAGGTTATTAATAGCGTTTCTGTCGTTTTTTTTTCCCTCCAACAGTGTATTTCATTTCATTTCATTTCCTCCTCCTTCATTCTCAAACCCCTTCTTTCCCAAACTCTAACTTAATCCCCCTCTCTCTCATACTTGTGCTCCTCCGTGTAGACCGCCGCCGGCGCCGCCACCTCCACCGTCGCCCGCTGTCACCTCCACCGTCGCCCTCCGTGTAGCCCACTATACACTCCCCTCACCCTGAAATAGGTATACATTCAACTTTCTTTGTGTTTTAAATTCTAGGGTTTATGTTGGTGATTTCTAATTTTTTTGGAATTGGGTTAAAATGTTGATGAGGTTGAGTTGTTAGTGTTAAAAATGTTGAATTGTTAGTGTTGGTATTGTTGAATTATTAGTGTTGGTAATTGTTGAATTGTTAGTGTTGATAATGGTAGTGTTGATATTGTTAGTGTTGATAATAGTTTGGATAATGTTGAATTGTTGTTGTTGGTTTTGTTGAAAATTGTTGACAATGGTTGATAATTATTAGGTTTTGAACCATTGTAATTACCTACATTGTTTGTGTAATAATGGTGATTTAGGGGTTCTTAGTAGTTAATTTGTAGAGTATGTAAAATTTTTTTGTTTGATTGTGGTGATTTAGGGATGATTTAACGGCTTTACGTAAAATGTGTCTTGGTTGTTATGTAGAATATGGCTGGACAAAATGTAGCGTTGTTATGTCGATGGGGAGGTGAAATTTTGTGTAATGGATCAAATGTGGAGTACAGTGGAGGCAATATGGACCTTATAACACTTGAACCGAACATGACTGTGACTGACCTGATGAATGAGGTTCACAGTTGTATTGGTTCAAACCCTATGACTGTTGAACTGAACCTTAAAATGAGGTGTGATACTGGTCATGGGGTGCAAGTGTTGTTACCTGTCTCTACGAACAGACATTTGAAAGGTTTGAGGACCATGGTAGGAATGAAGGGTTTTCCCAATGAGATATATGTAGAAACAGTGCCTATATGTACCCAACAAAGTACTCGGGCAGAACAGCAAGCTACATATGTCTCTGATTACAACATCGCGTCCTTCCAAGAGCCCGCAAACCACATTCCATCGAATGCATATGGGATGGGTTCTTTCACTCGAATGATGCAGGACGACCAATTTCACCTGCCTTTTAGTTCTCATATAGCTTCACCAGTACATGCGGGGGGACGCGTGACAGTGTTCAGCCAGCCTGCTCCGTCGTCATCGAACACCGTGGCATCTTCGCCGATGCAATTGCATAGCTACTCTCCTATGCAAGGTGATGATGGTTCACCGTTTCGAGAAGAGCCAAATCATTTTGATGATGTTGTGAATAATGAATTGTCGGTGTATGATGTGTATGCGGAAATGGATGATGAGGACGAGAACGGAGAGGGGGATGATGAACCTACACAGGTGGAAGATGGTCAGCCGTTGGTTAGAACTCCCATACCTTGGTTCAGTGAGGTACCCGAGAACTATGAAGTTGATCAGTATTGGGCCGAATCGGGTAGCCACACCTCTTTTGTTCCCGGGGGAGAATTTGAGAAGGGAATGTATTTTGAGAGCAAGAAACTGCTTCAAGAAATGGTGAAGATGTATTCTATTCAGAGGAATCAATTCTACACCACAGTGACCTCGAATGATGGTGTCCTACATCTGCGATGCAAGAAGAAATGTGGTTGGATGCTACGGGGTACCAAATCGAGTGAGCACTCACGTGGTTTTACCATAGTCACGTACAAAGGCCCGCATCGGGAGACATGTATCAGTGAAGTACTATCTAATGATCACCCACACTTGGATTCGTCCGTAATAGCCGAGTATGTGAAGTCCTTTGTGCGGAAAGATCCTTCGTTGAAAGTGGAATTCATACAGGAACTGATCTCGAAGCAATTTCATTTCGATGTCCCGTATCGACGAGCGTGGTATGCCAAGGAGAAAGCTATAGCTGAAATATTTGGGGATTGGGAGAGTTCATATGGCAGACTTCCCCACTTCATGCAAGCACTCCTACGGTCGAACCCGGGAACATGTGTCGTATGGAAACACAAAGCTTTAGTGGATGGTGTATACTACAGCAACATGGAAGTGTTTGAACGAGTGTTTTGGGCCTTCGGTCCTTGTATCGATGGCTTTAAACATTGTATGTCTGTTATCTGTATCGATGGGACGCACTTGTACGGGAAGTATAAAGGAACACTGTTGGTTGCTACGAGTGTTGATGCAAGCTTCCAAGTATTTCCTATTGCATTTGCGGTGGTTGAAGGGGAAAACACTTCCATCTGGTCTTGGTTCCTAGGTTGTATTCGAGATCGTGTCACGCAACGGGATGGCCTTTGTGTTATTTCTGATCGGCATCCTGGGATCATTGCAGCAATGAATGATCCTAATGTTGGATTCACCCAGCCCCGAGAGTATCACAGGTTTTGTGTCCGCCACATAGCCTCTAACTTGAAGACTCACGTGCGAAGTAACGACATGAGAGACATGTTCAAGGCCGCTGCGTACCAAAGGCAAGAAAGAAAACTTCAAGCTGATCTGTGTTTCATTAGTGAGGCCTGTCCCAAGGCCATTGAGTACATTGCTCAAGTCCCGTTCCCTATGTGGTCTCTGTTTCACGACAGTGGTCGCAGGTATGGTATATGTACTACTAACTTCTCGGAGACATTCAACAATGTGCTGAAAGGAGCTCGGTTTCTACCGATTATGTCCCTTGTCGAGTTAACCTTCCACAGAGTTAACAAGTATTTCACTTTGAGAAGGGAGTCTTCTGAGGCTAGGTCTGATCAGGGACTTCCATACCCCCCAAAGGTCACTGCCATCCTCGAGAAGAACACCGCTAAAGCCAGATATCATAGAGTGGATGCCTATAACCGGCGATTGCATATTTACCAAGTGACAACAGAGAGGGGAGATAGAGTTGGTAATAAAAGAGGCCACAAGCATACGGTGAACTGGCAGTTGAGAACGTGTACGTGCAACAAACCGAAGATACTCCACCTCCCATGTTCTCATGTGCTAGCAGTCTGTGCTACATACTCACTATCAAAACGGCCTTGGGTGGACCCTCTGTTGCAGTCGGCCGCCTACATGAACACATATGCACCACAGTTCTGGCCGATCCCCTGCGAGACAACCTGGGCACAGTGGGCACAGTACGTAGGCCCTAAACTCATTCCGGACGGCACAATGATACGTGGAAAAGGTCGTCCAAAGTCGAAGCGCATACGCAATGAGATGGATGACAACAACCGGCCCCCAACCAAATGCAGCCGTTGTCACCAGCAAGGTCACAACCGCACTACTTGTCGATCTATACCAACATAGGACCTAAGTGTATATGTGTTATTTGATATAGTAGTATGTAGTGGTGTTATTTTGATGAAAGAGTTATAATTTTCTACATTATGTGTTATTGTGTTCAATTCGATGAATTTTATTTTGTACGTTGGATGTTCGAGATTTCCTGTTTATGCCTTTCAATCGAAATTAGTATTCAATATATTGCGTTAGTGTTTGGTGTGTAACGTTTTCAATGAACAGATATCATGGACGTACGGGATAGGACACCCGGACCTGTTGACCCTTCTGTCCTGACACTACAGTACACCCATCGAAGCGTCGACGTATGGAACCTGACGGTAATGATTCATCTTTAACGTTTTTGGATTCTTTGATGTACTATCTTTTGTTACTTATAAATGCTCCTGTGTTTTCAGGGTGACGTAGCGAAGCCACTACAGTGCAGGCACTACAGGACCCCCTAGGTTGTCCATGATCGCTGCCTTGAGTACGTGACGTACGCTGGCTTTGGCGGTGTACATCGCTTGGGATTCAGGGAGATCGACCGACACCTTGTCACGGCGTTAGTGGAGAGATGGAGGCAGGAGACGCACTCCTTCCACCTACCAGTTGGGGAGGCGACTGTGACATTGCGGGACGTGGCAATACTGACGCGCCTTCCAGTACAGGGGACTGCGGTGACGGGATCATTTCTAGTCGATCCTGTTGGATTGGTTGTGCGGGTTCTCGGGGTGCAGCCAGGTCCCAACGATGTTAGGGGCTCCGCCTTGAGGACGGTCTGGTTACGAGATACTTTCCAGTGCTTGCCTGCGGACGCCGATGACTCCACAGTACAGAGATACGCTCGAGCGTACTTGTTCTTCCTCATATCCGGCGTGTTGTTCGGCAACAAGAGCGGGAGCCACTTGCAGCTTATTTACCTACAGCTGTTAGACCACGACTGGGAGCATATCCGTGGATACAGTTGGGGTAGTGCCTCTTTGGCGGTGTTGTATCGCCAACTTTGCAGAGCCTCACGGAGTGGTGCGCTCGAGATTGGAGGACCTCTGTTTGTGCTTCAGGTATACTACGTATATTATCACAAGCGAATTATGTAATGAGTAATGTCATATTTAACATAGTTTTGTGTTTTGTTATTGAAGCTATGGGCTTGGGAGCACATCCACGTAGGAAGACCAGGTAGGCCTGCTGTACATCGTCCGGGGCAGCAGGACCAGGATGACCAGTATGAGCCGTACATCGCTCCGCCACGCCTTGCAGCTGATGAGGCTTACG